GCGTATTGCAGTGTGTGCAAAGGACAAGTCATTATAGGTCCAGCAGGGACCACACGGTACCTGTATGCTCCGTCAGGATGGGGAGACCGGGTCACCTCTCCCCTTGTCCCCCTCTCCCCCTGTCCTCCTTGCTTGCTCTTGCTTGCTTGCTTGCTTGCTTGCCTGCTTGCTTGCATCACGTTCAGGGGTGCGGGGAAGCGCGCTCCCCAGCCCCTTCCTTGCGCCGAAGCGCTACGCCGAAGTCCCAACCCTCCCTCCGGAGGTCAAACTGCTCCCTCCCCCCACCTATCATGGAGAGTTGGAGAAATGGGAAGATTTGTCGTGGCAGCTGAAGCCATATGTTGGGCTGCACAAGTCGCTGGCGAAAACAACTGATGGATGAAGTGGAAGGCTCGAGCAGGAACGTTGATGACAACTTGCGTGAGGCTTTTGATGTTCAGCAAACGAAGACCCAGAATAACCAACTGTCACTGTTCTCAAAACAATTGGCAGACATGCTTGCACGGATCACTGATGGTGCAGCAAGAGCGATTATTCGCAATGAGGACACAGAGAATGGTTTCCAGATTTGGCGTCGACTGCACAAGCAGTTTGCATTGCCTGAAAGAGCGAGAGCCACGAATCTGTGGAATGAGATCATCGGAGTTTCGACTGAGGAGTGACGACTTGGAGAGTGATCTGATTGAGTTCATCATACTGAAGAATGAACATGAGAAAGTATAGCGTGAATACACACTCTTTCTCCCCCTGTCTCTTCTTCCACACAGCCACCGGAAGAGCGGTCTGCCCCTCCCCGCGCGCGCTGGTCTCCAAGGTCTTTGTTTGTGTGACATTCCAAGAGGAGGCCGACGTCTGGACAACATTGCATACTCCGCCTCAACATACACAAATAACCACCCCCCGGCCTCATCTCAAGGGCGAAGCACGTGCCCTAAACCCTCTCTCTCTGCCTTTCGGGTCTGCCTCGTCAAATTTATTCGGGACATACACTCTTAGGGTTCCGGCAGCTTCGTTTTCATCTTGCCCCCGCGTCACTTGCGCCACCTCACCTGGACACCAACGAATAGCTTCACAACAGTCAGTTGGTCTTGATATGTCCTGATGGTCAGCTACAGCAGTCAGGCATTTGGTGTGCCACCGTCAGACAAAGCTGCAAGTACTTTTCACGACGAACGAATGTACTCACTGCAACTTGCCTGCAGCAGCGGGGTGAGGCCCTCTGAAGGTAACGGCAATTGCACACCTTCCGGGATGCAGCTCTAACTCTTCATCGACCCGGCTGCTCCATGCAAGTTTCGGCGAGCGCCGAGTGCGTATTGTGCCAACTTTGCATGCTTGCGTCTTGCTGCTCCTATCTCGTGACCAGAGCATGCAGACAAGAAGTGTGTTGATAAAGATGACAGATGATGACAGTGAGCGAAGGGGGAGGGGGAGGGGAGGGCCCGATCGATTTTGCAGAACAGCAGCCCACTCTGGATGCAACAGCACTTATAATTCCGTGTCTCCGACACTTCAACCAATTCCAGCTTCAAGCCTGGTGCTGCGAGGTTTGGCTCCAGGCGTCCAACGCTTCGAGCAAGCCGCCTGTCACTCTTCCAACGAACTGCAAACTGACTCGTTGCTGTGCCTAGTGCAGCCGAATCCACAAGCATGCGAGGCTCTCTATTCCGGGCAGCGCCATGTCGAGCACAAGTTGTGGAGCGACTCGGAAACTGCAGAGCGAGGGAGACAGAGCGAGAGAGAGTGAGAGGGACAGAGAGAGCGTATAGGCTGAATTTCACCGACGAAGCCAGCAGTCCTGCCTTTTGCGGATCGTATCACTATGTCGGACACCCAGGCGAACGAGCTCACTACAGCTGCCGAAATGTTCTCGGCGGTTTTGCGCAGCTGGCTCAGCTGAACGCCTGCTTCGACTGTGGAAAGTTTTGCTAAGATCGATCAGCATGGAAAGTTGTAGTATCCACCAGCGGGGCATCCAGAAAGATATGCTCGTCCTCTTCAATCCACGCACAGACTCACAGCCAAGACAATGGGAGGATTTGCGATGTGCATCTGCTGTTTCTCCTAAACGGGCAGGCACCTGCAGTTCGCATGATAATCACATAATGGCATCGACGTGTGGCAGTCAAGGCGAGAGCACTCTTACCTTGGTGGATTCACCCACTCATGACTAAAAAACTTGCCCCTCCTAATTCCTAAGTGCCTGCCTTTTCCGCATGACGACGGCTCTCCGTTTCCTATGTTCTGTCGAGTCTATCTCGGCTCTGTGGAGTTTGCCATGGACAATTTGCAGAGCTGCTGATAAGGGCTGAGTAGCTGCAAGTACCATGCCAGTGCTCGAGTTTCAATCTGCTCCCAATGCTGCCATGAAAGCTACCAGCAACGAGCAATGCAAGCGAATCGAGCGAAGGCCTGCCGAACGTGCTCGCCACTGCTAACATGGACCTCCGTCCACAGGCAAGGCTCCTACAGTCCGCTTATCTATTTGCAGACGCCAATCGCTGTCAATCACTGATGGAGTGCGAGCTCCACAGAAAGGCTGCGGCGGGAGCCTGCTTTTGCGCTCGGGCGCTGACTCTCGAAGATTCGGACGAAGACAGGGCCGCAGGGCTGATGCAGTTGTTCGCTGCTGTGCTATCGCGACACTAAACTGAAAGTCTTATGCATTGCTTGTGCCAACTTCTGCGGCAGTGTTGAACCGACGTGGAAAGCGATTGAGCGACATCAGCGTCAGAGCGACCGCAGCGTCAGAGCGACAGCTAGCCTCAGATTCTAAGCATGAAGCCCACGACCGACAAGCATGCCTTTGAATGATGTGCATGCTCTCACAGTCCCGTGGTTGTGGCCCACCACCTTTTTTGGAGTAGGTCGGGCATTAGGAAGTCATTCGTGCGCCGAAATCGTGTGCGGCACATAACCCTTCACAGGTCAAGCAAGCATTGGCTGGCCATTCCAGAATCTGCCCGAATGTATGCCAAATCATGTCGGTCTCGAAACTCGCACGCCCTAGAATATGCGAACGTAGGTTGGGTGCATGTTGAATGCTTAAACTGCTATATGTTGAGGGCTTAACTATCCAAAATGGGCTTTCAGCAAGTTTTGGGTCAGGCCAGCGCGTTTTTTTTGTACAGGTCTAGCATGCCAAATGCTGTACCCATGCTGCTCGCGTAGGCATATGAGGCATCAGACCCCTGCCCAACTGCACATAGAAAGAGGGAGTCCAAGGATGGCTAATTCAAGTTTTGGCTCCGAGCCTTTGCTGTTTGAACTCTTCCATACGAGCTTACGTTACTACATGCTCAACCGTTACGCTACTTGTAGCTTGCATGTTCCTAGGTCTGAGCAGCACAGGCAACCATCGACAAAAAATGTGCGGGACGAGTGAAGCTGCATGCCCGACACATGAGTCGTGATCAATCGGCTGGTGTATCCAAGCAACTGTGAGTTACAAGCTTGGAGCCGTCCAAGCCTGGATGCCAGATTTGCAGACATGTGCTGAGCGACCGTAAGTAGAGTTAAACACTGACTCATTGAAGTCAAGAACTGACATCTTCACTCCTCCTTGGTACATTAAGTCGCGAAGCTGAGAAGCGAAGGCCGCAGTATGAAGGCCCAACTCGGCATAAGAACGGATCCTTCAGTTTCCATGAGCCCCTCCTCATAATGAAGGCCAACAAGGCAGAAAGGGAGAGAGTGGTTCAAGGTGCCTTCATCCTGCCGACGATCGACCTTCACCACATGTTTCGAGCGAAGGCTGAGTACAGCCGCAATCCCAGACGAGCTGCTGGCTGTCTGAAGCTCGGCTCGGCTTGTGTTGTGTTGTGCTGGCTTGCGTTGTACTTTACTTTGCTCGCTTGCTCGCTCGCTCGCTTGCTCACTGGCTTGCTGGCTTGTCGGCTTGCTCTTTTGCTTGCTCTCTTGATTGATCGCTTGACTGCTTCCTTGGTTGATTGTTTCCTTGGGTGGTTAACGAGTTGTTGCTTGAGTAGTTGGTTGATTGGGTGCTGGGCTGGTTCCTCGGATGCCTGCCTGGCCTTGCCTCGCCTCGCCTGGCCTCGCCTGCGCCCCACTCTCTGCCAGCGCTCCAGCCCTCCAGCCCTGGCCTCGCCTTGCTTTGAATGGTTGATTGAGTGATTGGTTGGTTGGCTGGCTGATTGATTTGATTGATCGATCTGTTGATTGCCTGATTGCTTAGTATTGCTTGCTTGCTTGCTTGCCTGCCTGCCCGCCTGCCTGGCTGCCTGCCTGGCTGGTTGATTGCTTGATTGGTGGTTGATTGGTTGATTGAGTGATTGCTTCATTGATTGATTGCTTGCTTGATTGAACGACTGGCGGATTGACTGATTGCTTGATTGGTTGATTGGTCGACCGCGTGAGTGATTGACCTATCGACTGATGCATTGATTGGTTGGTTGTTGCGGAAGGCCTACATGCGGTCTCCGAAGTTTCTTGGGTTTCGGACCACGGAGACTTGCAGGAGATCTGGGCAAGGCTAATGCTGAAACCAGTACCTCCAAGTGCATCTCAGTGATCAGCAACAGCCGCCATTGGAAGCTTGCAAACAGGAATTGCCAACGAGCTTCAAGGGCCTTTCGGCCGTGCCCCCGAACCGCTTCACTCCGCCTGCCATAGGGTGCTGGCATGGACTGAACTGGCGCGATTGCAGCGCTGCCGGTCGAGGCCCAAGCATGCCAGTTCGGAGATGCCCAGTAAAGAGGAGTGGGAGCTGTGACTCTAGCTAGTGCCACTTATCCTGAACACTGCAAACAACGGCAAGAAAAAACACCACGCGTCCACAATTTGACACAGCAATGTGTCTCGGCTGTGCCGGCAACAAAGGGACAAGGATCGGGCTCAGAGCTACTTGCGGAGCCCATGCGCCAACAGCTTCTATGCAGTCGGTCTATACAGAGAACAATCAAGCCACGACGAAAGCATGAACCCGTCTCTCTCTGTTCCTACAAACCTGATGTCTCTAGCTAATGTGGTTCTTTGCAGCCTCAGAAGGGAATGTTTCTCCGCACGAGGTCGAAGTCCTGACTGTCTACTGTCAAGTCTCAAGAATCACTTGACTGCACTGCATCAGGCCACAACGCCCGGAACACACCAAATGCGGCTCATCCGCATTTGGCAAAGCGACGAAAGGACTGTTACCCAGTCATCTGTCTTACTAGGTTTCCTTTCACTTGCCGCTGCACTAGAGCAGCCGCCGATTCAAGTTCCACGAACACCTTTGTCCCGGCTCCCGGTGTTCGAGGACACGACCGCCGAGACGGTGCCGGCGGTCGAGTACTCGAGTGTAGATTGAAACCTAGCCATTCGCGTTGAGTTTGTCCACCTGTTCTGCTGGCTTGGAAATGCACAAGGGAACATGCAGCAATGCATAAACCCACACGCGTACTGTGCGCTTCCGTAGTGGTCTCCGCCGCCGGCAAGATGTAAATCAACATAAGGATACAAAAACAGGGAGCCTTCACACATCAAATCAAGACAAGCTTGAGAACATGTCAGTGCGCAAGCCGGAGAGAGATGGCACTGGCAACACGTAGTCTGACCGAATCTTCCAGAAAGTTTCAGGAGATCGATGCATCACAGACATCATTCGCTTCTTCAAACACCAGGCGACGTCCTCATCACTGTCGCCGTCCTCGTCATCCTCCTCCGCTCGCGAGGAAAAGACACAAAGCAAACTCGCAAGAGGCTTGTCCCTGGCAGTTTCCCGGGAGCTCCTTTGTGTTCAAGACTTCGGAAGTTCGACTTCGAAGCTGAATTTTGGAACTTGGCGTGGGGGGCTGGGTGGGGGGGACTGGGGTGACGACGACATAATTATGATGACCTCGCAACGACGACGACCGCGAGATGACGATGACAACATGATGATGAGGACCTGCTGATGACGACGCCATGATAATGATGGTGCTGATGGTGATGATGCTGGTGATGATGGTGATGTTGACGATGACGATGACCATGATGACATCATGATGATGACATCATGCTGATGACGATGATGATGACGATGATGATGACGATGATGTGCGAAATGATGCAAACACAAGCGAATCCGCTCCGCTGTTGCAGATTCATCGTGAAACACAAGGTTTTCGTGGTGTACTGAAGTACTACTCCACATTGGCACAAAACAAACCCTCGAATTTTTGCATGTTTCGTCGTTCCGGTCATGCCAAAATTGCGCGCGCGCACACGGGCGCTTCCAAGCTATATCTTCCCGCAGGGAGTAAGCACATGCGAAGACAGCATGCTCCATGTAATGTCGCACTGTTGCGTACCTGCAAAAGCCTCCGGCATTTGCGGTGCTTTCGGGCTCTTGCAACAACTTCTTCGGTTGGTAAATGCTTTGCATTAGTCTCCGGGAAAATCCCCAGGAACTTGCCTTGCAAGATCATCCCCGTAACCGAACCCCACATCAAAATCGTGCTACATAGCGCCTGCCAACGCTTAGGGCTTAGTACCAGTCACATTGTATGTACGAGTGCGTGCCTGTGTCTCTCTGTGTCCCTTTCTTTCTTTCTTTCTTTCTGGCCCGGGGTGTGTCCCCTGACTCTCTCTGTGTCCCTCTGTCTCGCTCTCTGTCTCCTGGGGTCTTTCTGGCCCTCTCTTTGTCTCGCTCCGTGTCTCGCTCTGTGTCTGTTTCTGTGTCTCTCAATGTCTCTTTTTGTCTCTCTGTGCCTCCGTGTTTGCTTTGTTTGTGTGTGTGTGTGTGCGTCTCTGCGCTCGTGTGTTTGTGTGTTGGTGTGTGCTGGTGTGTGTTTGTTTGTGACCGCTGTTTGTTTGCATGTTAGTGTGTTAATGTGTTTGCGCGTGTGTGTGTCTGTGTGTGCGAAAGTACAACGTACTCAGATTGCGAAAGTACAACGTCCTCAAATAGCACACTAACAATACTCTAAAGTACTGCATGCACAGCTCACGCAGCTTCAGATCAAAATAACCGTGAAAGTCACGGAGCACCTCTGTCCAGGGATCGGGCAGAGTGTCATATGACCTTGAGCAAAATCGGGGGCATAGGAGAACGTGATGTTTTCACACGCCTCTTTGAGATAACGTGCTGTACTTTATTTTCACACAAAGTACATAATACATAGAAAAAAGTAGAAACATGAAGACAAGTGTGCTCCACAGGAGTTCGGAGAAAGTGGCGTTTTGCTGCCAGCGCCAAGGTTGCAACGATGCGTCCTATCTACAGCATCCAAAAGTTGCCTTGAAGAAACTATACAAAAGTGACTCGGTTCGTTGTGCAAAAATCTTGTCGTAGACCACAGCACAGCAAAGCACAGCGTGGATGGTCGGCCCGTCAAAGTGCAGCGACCAAAGTACCCAAAGACCCAACCATAAGGCGAACAGTGGTCTCGAAAAGTGGCATTCACAGCCTTGGCCGCGCAAAGTGTTGCAAAAGTTCCCAATCTGGAGCTTCCCATGCGTGGCTGGGATAAGCAGATGAAAAAGTCTGTACAAAGCCCCGTTGAAAGTGTTCAGCACGTTGACGCCAGAGTAAGGTTCAACCGGATGAACCAAAATGATCATCGACTGCAAAGTTGCAGCATCCGCCTGATGCATAAGCGTCAAAGTGCCACACATAGCAACGAAAAAGTCAATGTGAGTCAATGCAACGCCGGTTCCAGACCCGGCCACCTTGCAATAGTTCGTCCCACTTGTGTTAAGAAAGTCGCATGCCCAAACTGGTGACCATGTTGAAGAATGTAGAGTCCGACATGCCTTGCTGTTGTCTTATCGACAACCAAAACGTCATCATGAGGAATGCGCTTCTCGGAGAACACGAAAAGTTGAGGAGGGTCTGATCTGACCCCCAGATACAGTCAGCTCCCGAACGTTGAAAAGGTCCTCCTCGCAGTGCTTGCAAAGCCGAGGTACCAAAGTTGCACGCGAAAAACTGACTTATATCATAAAAGTACACATATCATCGGCACGCAAAGTACCAAGCACGTTGAAAAATGGCTGGCGACAAACCAACTCAAACAAAGTCAGCTGCACCAACTGCAATTCAAAGTGCGTCCACATCAGTGGATGCTCACGATCAGGATACAAAGTAGCAGCAAGCCCCGGCAGATCAGGACCTGGGGCTGTATGCACTGCCTGCAAAGTGCTGAACTCTGGCACTCCAGGCCATTGCTGTCCCGGCTGTCCAAGCCGGCCAGGCACGCAAAGTTGCTCACCTGCCACGTGAACAAAAGGTGCTGAAAAGTTCGCGGCGGCAGAGTTTTCGTACCTGCATCGAGACTGTCGGCATGAAACACACTGAAACACCATTCGGATTCTTCGGCTGTGCAGCTTTCGAAGGGGACGAGGACACAGTAGCAGCCAGCTTCACTTCAAAACTTGCTTTTCATACCAAGAGTCAGTGCGGTGTTATTGTATCCGGAGTCATGAACACTCTACATGTGAAGTTACGAGCAGCATCAACTTTCTTGGAAGTGCAAAACCTTCGTGACCACGAGCTGATCAAGTCACCAAGCAAAGACAGACAAGCGCTGTGCCATTCGTGAATCCAGTGCTCGGATCTCCAGGTTCTATCTGATTTCTCCTGTTCGAGAACCTGAAGATGAACAGTGGGGTCCGAAGTGGTCTCAAATGTTTTCTGCTAATCCCGCACCTAGAGTCGTTTTGGACAATAGCAGTATTGACCCTCAGCAGTAATTTGATTGCATTGGAAAACAGAAGTTCGAGTGCTATGGGCATGTACAGAATGAACTTGAAGTTGCCTTGTTTTGCATGTTGCTTCATATTCTTTATTTGTGTTGCTGTGATAGGAAACTTTCAAGTGGTAGCCTGCGGTCCTTTAACATGGCGGGAAGCAGTCGCGACCATGAACGCGGAGCTGATCTTCCTGACGAACTTAGTGATGTTCTACTATCATTGTCTGAAAGACAAGCCAACATCTTGTACCATGCGCTGACTAACCATATGTCCGCACATACTTTCTTGACATATTGCAGAACAGAGTCTATGAGATCGCAGAAGACCATGTACACAGAGCCCGCTCTGATCAAGACCGAGATCACCATCGTTCTCCGATTCCTCGTAAAGCTATGCCAAGACTACGACCACCAGCTCTAGGTACAGTGTCCGTGAGGCCCTCAACAGATGTGGCAACATACAGGCCCCCTTCGTCAAGTAGTATGTGGCGCCCGAACGTTGTGAACTACATCATTCCGCCACCACCATTGCCACCCCCGACATCACCACCACCTGAGACTGAAGCTTTGCACCTAGTGGTTCTAATTCGGTGAAGGCTTTTTGCGCTAAGGCATCTTGTGCTGCGATGTTTCCAAATCTAACTCCTCGTAGCATTTTCCGACGAAAGAATAGGAGCCGCTCTCGTAGCACATTTTCCTCGGTTTCTCATCTGTCTTGACGAAGTGATTGCACGCTACATGCATTGTTGAGAAACTGCATGGGTGATTGCGATAGTTGCTGCAAGGACTTTGCAGTACTTTTTTTGCCACATTGTACATGTATCAGTTTTGCAGTTTTCATTTCAAGCTAATCATCAGCCCCACCCTTTCGCTTCCATCATCCCATTTCTGTAAGACCCAGAGTGTTGCCGAGCCTTCAAAGTCTCACCCTACTGTGGAAGAAGTCAAGGTCCATCAGGCTCAAGCACTCGCTAAGTTTTCGATTGACCCGCTAGAACCTTTTGCGTCCAACATGTCTTCGTCATCTTCTCCTGCTCAGCAAGAGATTGAATCTCTTCGTGCACGGCTTGACGCAGAGAAAGCCCGCAACAGCAAGACTGCTGATGACCAACAGCCCCTTCAGCGCCGTCGATTGCAAGAGAAGCAAGGGGCACCATTACCTTTTGTGATGAAGGAAGAACTCGTTGATCGCGCAATTAATCCCGAGAAACTGGGCGAACGAGTTTTGCTCAATCAGACCTTGTGTCACACCAAGCAGAATACTGCAGCTTGGGTCAAGCGTCTCAAACAGACGATTGGTGCAGCCAAGCATGATGAGCTTATGGCTGCAATTGCTCGCGCCCCTGAGATTCTCAAGGGTCTTCCACAGACCGCATCGATTTTTTGCTCGGATGTACAGTTTCGCTCGCGTCCAAGATCAGGGGGATCGACAATGTGTTGTTTGCCGACAACTCCAGAGTAATCATGCATGGTTTGATGATTCTATTACACTTTCTACTTGATGTCAATGAAAATATGGCCTTGCGATTTCCTTCAAGAGTACTTGCAGCATTCATCTTGGTACAAGCTATTTTCAAAGCAGTTGTCGTGCGTTGCATATTCGTACCTGGAGACTGAGACTTCTTCATTTACAAGGACTCAGTTTATCGGAGTTGTCCGCACTTTTCGAACAACGCAACACCGTCTACATTCTCCTGATGCCTTTGGTAAAAAAGCGTGGATGGGATCATGCTTCTGGTGGTCTCTTGCAACGTCGTAAGGTTCTACATGGGGCCTACGTCTGTATCTGTTCATTCTCGACAAGATGCCCGACTTCGAAAATTTCGAATACTACCACGTGACGAGTTTTGCAATGCTGAGTTGGTGCTACACTTCTTCCATACTCGTGGTGATCTGTTTGAGGCTGTCATTATACCCATTCGTGTTTATGAGACTCTGCATGAAGCCACAGCTGCCGAATATTCGTTTATTCATTCTTGGAAGCCTCAGTTGAATGCTCCCTGGATTGTCCGTCTTAATCTCACTTCCACTACTCGCTTTGCTCAACCTTTTACTGTCAAATCAAGCTACGGCAGTCCTGGAAAACGACTCTGGCTTAAAGTATGTCGCAAACTTCCTACCTAGGGACTACTTCGTTTGTATGGAAACAGTTTGTTTGAACCTTATGACAACTGGTTACTGTTGATGAACATTGCCAATGGAGGCATGAAGGCGCTCCAAACTGAGAAGTGGCTTCGAAGTGCAGAATTCCATGATCATCATCAAGTTTATGCGCTTTATCGTATGTGCAATCTTTTAGATGACCCACCCCAGACCGCTGTACGTTCTGTTCTACGGTGCATTCTCAACTTTCGCCAATGTGCTGTTCCTCGTGGTCCCAAACCTTTGGTCTTACCTTTGCTTGCCCATGAATCCTTTCAGAGAGCTGTTGAACGTTAGATCAGTAGTATCATTGTTCGCACCAAGGAATACATGGTTGTCCATGGCTGTCATTACACAGCTTGCCTTTCTAGAGCCTTTTGCAAGTAAATATGGAGTCATGATCAGTTTCACCCGCAGCCGAAGCTTTCTGTTTGCAACGTCAAAAACTGTCTCAATACTGCTCTGTTTGCTGGTAGTATTATTGTTTCCGACCTGTTGTTTTGCAGCTACAGAACAAGTTTCTACCGGGTTTACCCCGATTGTGTGTGTGGCCCTCCTGTTCCAAAGGATCTAGCTCTAAGTAACAAGAGCGCAGCGTCTTTCAGCAGGGGGACACAGCATGTCACTGGGATTGGGTCCAACGAAGCTACCAGTGACATGGGAAAAGAGGACTGTCATCCTCTTGTACCTGCATCCGGATGAGCCAGTGGGCGCCCTGTGCCACTGGAGTAACAAATTCGAGAACGAAGGAAAGACATGATAAAAGAGAGACAATGTAATCAGCTAGCACAAACAGATCACAAACAGCATCCATCTAGGTAAGGATGACTGGTCTGCGTGTGCCTGTGCCTGTGCCTGTGCCTGTGCCTGTGCCTGTGCCTGTGCCTGTGCCTGTGCCTGTGCCTGTGCCTGTGCGTGTGCGTGTGCGTGTGCGTGTGCGTGTGCGTGTGCGTGTGCGTGTGCGTGTGCGTGTGCGTGTGCGTGTGCGTGTGCGTGTGCGTGTGCGTGTGCGTGTGCGTGTGCGTGTGCGTG